ACAGAGGGAGTATAGTAATGTTATTGTCATAGGTGGTCATGGTCCTTAACCTTCTAAATCATTAGAAAGAAGTGTAAAACATATATTTACAAGACCAAATACATAATAGAAAAGGGCAGCCTAAAAAAAAGCAAAATGGGAAAATTATTAAGTAATTTTCGGAGTTGCCAAAATGGAATAAAATTCTATATTTGTCCCATAGGGGGTCATTCTAAATTTAGTGTTGTGCAAATTCAAAAGGAGAAATAATAGCGCTTATAACATCAAACAGATCTACTCTTTAAGATAATAGATCATATAATAATAAGATAATAATAGAATAGAATGAAATAGTCTGGAGCTATAATGTCATTGGATTCGAGGAGCTATAGGTTGAAGTGTCAGAATAAACAATAGTAGTAATAGTTAGACTAGTGAATAATCAAAATAGTTCTATTGTGGAAATAAGTATCAATAAGGTCAAATTGTTCTAATAACTAAAGTAAAAAAGGAATCAAATGAAGTCCGATTTTAGTGCAGAGGTGTTTATAGAGAGTAGTATTAAAATGCAGACATAGAACGACAGGCTTTAACACAATTTTAAATCTAAAAATAGCTCAAATATAACATTGCTCTTGACGCAGCCTCTGAGCTGCTCCATTGGAGAACAGGTTAAATGTTATTGTTTATTACAAACAGCTGATGTATTTACACACATTAAGTTTGGGACAACTCTTTAAACAGTTATAAGCAGCGGACAGAAGCCATGAATGTGCTTTTGTTTATTAAATAATTAATTTCATAGCCTTATAATCGTAGAGAACGTTTTAAAATAGTTAAAATCCCTTTCAGGCAACTTGATTTAGATGTATGTCTTTAATATTGGAGAACGACTGTGTTGTTTTTGGAATTGTCTGAAATACAATACATAGAATAGTGATTTGCAGAACAAGAACCAGCCAATGAAAAATCGTCTATTGCCAATGCAATTGTTACAATCAGAACTCAAAAATTGGGAATATGCTTTGGCTCAAACTACAACCAAGATTTGGAGTCACAATAGAGTGTAAAATAGATAGATGCTTTCAAAAATAGAGATTATTTTTAGACAGGGCCAATATCAAACGGTAAAAAGACCATTTCCTTCATATTATGTCCAAAAGTAGTTACTTCAAAAGTAGATAATGTTCATGAGTGTAGCCTAGATTAATGTAGCTTAGATTAATGAGATAGATTAGAACCAACAGAGATTCAAAAACATTTAAAAGCATTTTGGTTAATTTGAATATAGCACAAAAGTAGATATTTAGGTATTTTTGAGAATTTTAAGAGCTGTCGATTTGTCAGCAACAGATTAGAGAATCAAAATACCGTTGTATAGGGACTGACCCCAGAGAAACCTGCTAAAATAGATTAGTTCCTGTAAGGATAATACCAATTTGATTAATGATGAAGAATCAGAATGACACAGCGGTGGTCATCAAAGAGTTTTGTGAAGGAATGTTTCGAATGTGGTTGTGTGTTGTATTCTTTCTGTATTAACTCTTCACAGATATCAAGCCGGAACTAAGCACAAGTATGGATGATAAACGACGATGTGGATTGTGACCTGATTTTAATCAGGTCAAAAGAGGGAAACTGTTGCATAATTAAAATGTTGTATACTAATGATTTTGAAAATAGGCCCTCTGAAGAATGTGCACGGGGAAAAGCCCCAAGGACAAGGATTGCAAACAGGAATAAAGAGGGTCAAATGGAGAAACTACAATCAGTCATAGAGATACCAACTTTCAAAACGGGACAAATTATTAACTCCAGGAATAAACATTCTTGTCTCTCTGGCGAGGCCAAAAGTCCAAAAAACACCATCTCTCAGGCAGACTGGGAGATTCTCCAAAGGCATTCTGACGCCTCCCAGTGGACACGGGACGCCAGCACACCCGAAAAGAACATTCGGGAGACGCCCACAAGTGACGTCATCAGACGTCTTGATAAAACTGTTGGTTTGAGTTCTGGGGGGAAGGTTAGCGCAGGGGTAGAGGAGAGGGACATATTAGTTTAGGAGCACTTTTTTGTTGAATATTCTGTATCTGATTGTAAAGATAATTAAATGCAGATGTTAACCTTGAAGAATCTTTAGTCTGATTTCTGTACCAAATTGTGGACACGCCAGCCAAAGGGAATTATTGGCTTCAACCCCCATCACTAAATTCATTTAAAATAGGGGCTGTACTACAGCGACCGCTGGTCCCAACCAGTGGGGGCGGGTCCCGGCTCAAAAGTGGCCAAATTGACGTGCGCTGACATGCTTGCAATACCGTCGCAGGCCGATGGGGGTGGCCCGGAATAAGAATTAGCCAATGCTAACATATAGCATCTTCGTACCTCTCGAAAACGTCTTTACAGGATGGTCCAAAAGTTGGCTCTTGGCCCAAAGCTCCGTTCCACATGTGTGTCAATGTTGAGGGGAGTGAATTTTTTTTGGACCACTCTAGTTTACTCGCTGTGAATTTTTGAAGTCACTTGTTTAAATGAATGGAGCTCGTGCAGCTGTGCGTTTTTTCAAATTTTCCAGCCCCCGCAGCCATTTTGAATCACTCCATGAGAGCCCAATTTTTGTAGCCTGACTCTCGCCAGACCCATGTAGTTCGCTGCACTTCACACATGAGTCTGGTATATTTGTATATAGTGTATATATTGTGTGTGATCCCTGTGTGCTCTTACTACTGTCCTATATGTGCGATGCAACATCGAAATTTCCCCACTGTGGGACAAATAAAGGAATTATTATCTTATCTACTGAGCCATGGTGGTTGGATTTCAGAAGGCAGGGCCTTGTAAAAAAAAAATCCTTGTATGTGATTGGATAGACCACTTGTCCGTTCTCTTGAATGAAGTCTGCTTTCAACCACTCACATCGAAGCACACAGCCTCCATAGGTTTCCAAATCCCAGCAAGATTTCCCAACCCAAAATTCGCGAGAATACCCAAAATAAAAAACACTCAGAATGATTTTTTGGCTAAAACGTAATGTAATCAACTTGGGCTATCATGATTCTGTTTATTGTCTTTCTGTTTATTTAATACCTACAAGTCTCTTGGAAAAAAATATGCAGGAACCACCAAACCTGGCAACCCTGCTGCATAGTGTGTAAACAGGAACACTGAACCGGTGCTTCAACCAAACGTTACAGGAACATTTGATTCTTAAAACACACATATATCAACATAGAACCATCAACATCTCGCCTCAAACTGCATTAAAAGTGACATCCGTGTCTTAATTCGATTGTATTTACTCTTTTAAAAAGATTCGGGGACTTTACGTCCGCCATCTTGGATTCCTCTCGTTGCTGCATCAGAGAAGCTTAAAAAGGCAGTGCAAACCCCACGTAACACCGCCAATCCTGATTGGTCGATTAAAAAATAATCTGGGGAAGGCGTTCGCTATGGCGTCGATACTAGACCCATGGTCGGCACTAGATCATATACGGAATCGGGACGAAGTAACAATCATACTTTCAAATTAATTTTAGACTAATTTGTCCTTAAAGACCTTATGACGGGTTTAAAAAAAAAAATAGTGGATATCAAAATAGCATGACAATGTCAATTTGAAAGAGATTCCGGCAAAAAAAATCCTATATTTTATAAAAAGAACGTGTTTTTCATGAATTTAAGTTGTCTATGCTCTAACCTGTGTGTGACATCATAGCGGGTTACGCCCATGCATTGAAAACCATGGATCTATGCCACAGGAATGCCTTTTCTCTCTTCTCTCCACTGATGCCCAACACAATACTGCACTCTACAGGCGACAATTGCTCACTACACATAAATTGCCGTTTTGAGTGTGAAAAAGTGTCTGAGGTGGGATTCGAACCGAAGTGTCTGAATTGGCAGTCCATCGACACAACCACTGGACTATCTCAGTGACAACGAAATGATACATTCTAGTAGTTATATGACACTCGCTGTACACGGCCTTGTCATCTTGAATATCCGCGAAAAAAGAACGAATACCAAATTGTAAACAACTTACAGCGTTGAAACGTACCCGTTCTGACGTCACCAAGGGCTGTGAAGTTTTTTCGTTTCTAAGGGCGTTGCTATGGGGTTATTTCGATTTGGGGGGATCAGACAATAAAACAACAACTGATTTTGAAACCTTTAGTAGTTCTCTTCTAATATAAAATGGTATTAAAACTGTATTTCTAAATAAATCAAACCCGTCATAAGGTCTTTAAATGGTGACTGGTTAAGTTTTAGGTGTTTAAGTAAGATGGTTAAGTTTAGGGTTAAGGCTGGGTTGGGGTTATTTTATGGGAATGGCTGGTTAAGTTTAGGCATGAATAGGTAGTTTGTTATTTTTACTTCCGCTTCCGTCCCGATTCCGTATATGATCTAGTGCTGACCCTGGACCCATGTGGTTCAGCCAAACGCCTCTGGTGGAGCATGGTGGAACTACAAGGGTCTGGCAGAGCTAGGCTACAATTTTTGGCCCATTAGTTAGAATGGCGGATATAGGCGTGAGTACGTCCGTTAATATACTGTATACAGTCTATGCTCCCAACAGAGACACTAGCGGCAAAACAGGATGGGTCAAATGCTAAGAACAAATTGCCCCATGGGGGATAATATAAGTTTACCTCAACCTTCCCCTTAGCATACCGTACCAATTCAAGCCTCTGTCTCCTTTTATTCTCTTCCAACTGTTTTTATTGATATTTGTTTGTTTGGAGCATAAATTGCAGTCAAGAATGCATGGGTTATAAAAGTGTGTAAAAGGAATTGGAAAAACATCTTTAAGATTGTTAAAAGAATTGTGTTTACTGTCTTATTGACTGACATGTTATATCATACACATCCAGGCTCCTCCCACACAGCAGTAAGGCAAGTTTTATTTCTTTCTGCTGATAGGATGAATCAATCTGGCACCCCGAGAATCTTTAACCCGTTTAGAAAAGCTGACATGTTTGTTTTCATTCTTTTATTTCAATCAAGTGAGAAAAACAGAAGGATCACTCCCTCTCCTCCAGCATGGCCTCGTTCCCCAAACCGAAGCCTTTAGGTCCAAAGTTTTTAGCGTAGCACACTGAAAGATAAAGACCTGGTTTAGTCCCAGTTCAGTCCGGGTTTAGTACTGGTCCAGTGCTGATTTAGTCCTGGTTTAGTCTTCGTAAAGTCCGGATCACAGTCCCGGACTAGTCCTGGTCCAGTTCTGGTTTAGTCTTGGTACGGTCCTGCTTCTGGTTCTGTTGTGCTTAAGTCATGACTCAGTCCTGGTCCAGTCCTAGTCCAGTCCTGCTTCTATCCTGATTCAGTCTATTGCTCAAACCTGGTATAGTCCAGGTTCAGTCCTTGTTTAGTCCTGGTTCAGTCCTGCATCAGCCCTGCATTAGTCCTGCTACTTCAGTCCTTCTTCAGTCCTGATTCATTCCTGGTCCAGTCCCAGTCCGGTCCAGTCCATAGACCTTTACAGTAGACCTCTCCGTCTTTATCGGTCACCGTTGTGGACTCCAGACTCTTCCCGCACAGAGCGCAGCGGAAACACGTCTTGTGCCACGGCTGAAACCAACAAAATGTGCGTTTGTGGTCTTCCAAAATGTGTGATTTTTTCCGTCTCTATCTGTGGTCAGACTAGATACAGACGAGACACAGACACAAGACACAGGCATGAGACACAGACACGACACAGACAAGACACAGACATGAGACACAGATGAGACACAGACAGACGAGACACAGACATGAGACACAAACGAGACACACGAGGGACGAGACACAGATGATTCACAGACAGTCGAGACACAGAAGACACAAATAGACAAGATACAGACAGACGAGATACAGGCGAGACACAGACAGACGAGATAAAGGCGAGACACAGACAGACGAGATAAAGGCGAGACACAGACAGACGAGATAAAGGCGAGACACAGACAGACGAGATACAGGCGAGACACAGACAGACAAGATAAAGGCGAGACACAGACAGACGAGATAAAAGCGAGACACAGACAGACGAGATACAGGCGAGACACAGTGCTTTTAAATTCACTAGTTTTGCCATATATTAAAAGGGAGTAAAGGAGAATATAATATAATATATATAAATATATATGCATAAATTACTTACTTTTAATAAACGTGGTGAAAAACTAAACGATAACATTTTATAATAATTACGACTTATTTAGGCTTAATAAATGTTTAAATAACACTTAATCTTGAACAGTTCGTTAATCAAGGTTGAATAACTAATAAGTCATGCACTGCAGTATTAATAAATGATTAATATAATAATACTTGTGTTTAACAAATGTGTAATAAAGTGTAAATAGTGTACACTTACAAAAGCTCACAAAAAAGTATACAATTAAAAATTATTAATCATCATGGTGTAACAAGTCATCGATATGTGTAGTAACAAATGGTTACTTCATCATTATTAAATTATTAAAAAATAATGAATAAGTGAAGTACTCTAAGATGTATAAATTATGAGTTAAGCATTTATTAACTGTAGTAGTTAAGTAGTTATTAAGTGTTGGTCACACTTAATTAATGAATTGTTCATTGTTAATTAAGTGCTATTTAAATATTTATTAAGCCTAAATAAGGTGTTACCAACTTAACAGTTTTTGGGGGAATATCTCAGCGTTTGAATGAGAAAAAAGTAGTAGTTTCATTCTTTTGGGAGTAATCCTTTATTGTGTTGCATTAGGAAACGTCTATTCAACCGACATTTTATCACCAATAGTTTCTCTGCTCTTACTGCTCATGTTCCAAACATTCTGACTGTAATTTAACATGTTCCAAGGTTCTGGAAGCTGGAGCGGTACCTTTCCGGCGCTCATGACTTTCTCGGCCGCATACACGGCTTTGGAGCAACGAGGACAGCGGTCACTACAACCAAACTTCTGACTGATCTTCGAGGAGGAAGAGGAGGAGGAAGAAGACGACTTGGACCTGCGGGGATAAAGGTTATTCATGCTTCAAAGACAAACTGAGAAACTGATAATGAACGAGAAAAGCTGTGACAAGCCCAGAACTCCACACAAATACAGCATTCTTTCCTCTTACAGAATAGATGGAGGTTTGTATCTATCACCCGTGCAGTTACTTTGTATTTGTGGACAGATTTGGGATGTTTTTTATAGTCGAAGCAGAGTAAACACATTTAGAGTAATGTCCAGAACAGCTGTAGCAAAAGGCAAATGTCCTTGGGAAGTTAGGGTGGGAACCTACCATCCAGAATGAATTGTATCATATATAAGTCACACAAAAACACCCATGCAAATAGATTTTCAACAGATATATTCCCCATAATATCATCAAAGGTACTTACTGTAGGTGAGAAGAGGCCTGGGTGCCGGGCTCCGAGCTCAGTGCTCCGGCCCCTTGTCCGTAGCCGTAGCCTTTTGGACCGTACTTCTTCCCGTAGCAGGATTTACAGTAGACTTCCGAGTCGTGGGCGGTGACTGTGTGGCTGTCCAGGCCTTTGCGACAAGACACTGCACGAGACAGAGCACAACGGTCAGGCATCACCATATGGTTTCATAAAAAGTTTGTTATTGACTGAATACTTATTTTCCACCATTATTTACAATTAAATAAGAATGTGATTTTGTGGATTTTTTTCCTCATTTTGTCTTTCATAGTTGTGGGGAACCTCTGATGGAAATTACACCTCTCATCTTTTGAATTGGGAGGACTTGTATTTGACTAAATATATTGTACTGTACATATATTATAATGTATTGTATGCACCAAAATACATGTATGTTTTGAAATAGTTAACTTCACTTGTCAAACATTTACCAGGATAAGACTCACAGTCCAGAGCTTTAAGTTAAGTCCTGGTTCTGTCCTTGAAACTCTTTAAACCTCAGTCCAAGTGTCTATGTGATGTATCACTCTGTCCTCTGCAGCTGTCTCCACTGTCCCTAAAGTGAGGCACATTTAGACCCAGCTTTGGTCCTGGATTATCTCGCTCTGGGCCTGGTTTCCCTCTGCAGCAGTTTATCAGTCGATGATTTTCTATTTGCGTAACGTGGAACTTCAACAGCCTTCAAAAACATGCGTCACCTGTTCAGCTCCAGCTCCACATGTGTGACGGCAGATTTCTGCTTTGGAACATGTCCTCAGACACACTAGTATCATATCAACTAAACTCTCACTGGGCTCTCAAAACACCAGGCGTCTGATGGTTCCTTGAGTGTCAAAAAGTGCAGTTGGAGCTAGGGGTGGGCGATATGGCCTAAAATTCATATCGCGGTATAATTTGGGTCATAGACGGTAGACGGTATATATCGCGGTATAATTTGGTGTGTGAATTTCAATATAGGTCTAGCAGGTTCTTGCATAAAATAGTCAAGATTGTTAATTATTTATATATTAGAATCTAATATATATTTTTTGAGTTAGAAAATCAGTTGTGAGACGAATAAAGAGACAAATAACATACATTATTTATGTATGTTACAGTAAATACCATTCACTGTAAAAGCAATTTTTAAAAAGAAAAACATATGCATTCATTTAAAATATAAAAAACTCACAAATGATGAAAACAAAGTCTGTAGGAGTTAGACATGGTCATTATTTATAGTGTCTGAGAGTTTTGTGCAGGTGCATGACTTCAGTAAAAGCTGTTTGTTTACAAAGCTGGTCTTGCCATTTGTTGACGCTCCCTAAGCGCTTTTCTCTGCGCTGGATGATTCAATGGATTTTATGTTCATTAAAACAGCGCATTGGATTTGAACAATTGATGTAAATGATCATTTTGGCACAAATAATTTTGTTTAACAAAGTAGCTTTCGTGAGATATTGACCGCGGAGGTCCGAATCTGACGCAAACTTTCCCAAACTTCTGATGTGATGCTGCTGCGGACACGGCACATGGATCTATTTTGGCTCACGCTGGCGCTTCGAGCTTACGCCCCTTTGACACCAATTGGCCAAAAGGTAGACTCTTAAACTGTGATTGCTGTGTGTGTATTTACCTCTGCTGGGGCCGCTGTGACAACAATACATAGACAGAAACACGGTGTTAATGCCGTGCTGTTGTTCGTTGTTTCCAGTGGTGTCCAATAGTGCTAGGCTAATGTGCTAGGCTAATAGTGCTAGGCTAATGCTGCTGAATGCCGGTTTGTTTTGGTGCTCTCTGCTGGCGTCAGAGCCTGCGCAATTTAATGACATAATGACGTATCGCAATATGCCGGTATAACAAAAATCTCTACCGTGGGCCAAATTTATACCGTCTACCGCTTATACCGTTTATACCGCCCAGCCCTAGTTGGAGCGTTGGCGCCCAATCTCCTACACTGTGGAATCAGCTCCTCATCCACGTCAAGGAAGCGACACAGTCTCTCATTCAAGGCCAGCCTTAAAACGGTCCTCTTTAAAACATTATATGGCTCAGTAAGTAAGACTCAGAAATCCAACCCTAAGTAAAAATGATAGATAGCCAGTGAGGCTGACACTTTGCTGGAGAAGTTTTGTAGCAGCACAATCCTATCCTCTCTCCAGCTTTATCTGTCATCCTTATGACTTCAGCTGTAGTTTGTTCATTGCTATTCATCCACTGTCCATGGGAGCGGATCCCTCTTTCAATGTGAGCTGCCTCTTCTATGTGTTTGCTGAATAAATTGCAATATAAATTCAGCTCTCAGTCTGTAAAATGATGCATTCTGACTTGTTTCTGTGTGGACAAAGGTATTTATGAAACAAAAAAGGTTGGGTACTCCAGCTTTAATGCACCGCGGCTGCCATCATTAACCTGAGCAGAGCTGCTCCATAGACTTAAAGGCAATAGTTCGTGGACAGGGTTTGCACGCTCCAGTCTTGTGAGTTGTGAGTTGAAAGGCTCACCCACAGAGAAAAAATTTCCATCTACCTGATTTTCAGCAGTTACAGAGTACACTGGTTACTGTGACACCCGCAGCCCGAAGTTTTGCAGAACTAAAGAAATGCCCATTAGGAGGAAGTTGCTGAGGGCCAGAAATATCACCAGTGACTTACACACAAATATTATTTCTGTATTTCAGTTCCACAAGTATCGGTATCAGTATCAGTATCAGTATCGGTATCAGTATCGGTCCTGGTTGGCCTTACAGCAGATGAAGCAGGTCTTGTGGAAGCTGCGACCGTTGCACTGGATTTCCTCGGCGTGATAAACAGTCTTCTGACAGGCAGCACAGGCGGCTCCCCCCCCCCACTGTGGCATCTGCAACACAACAGTCACATTCTCCTTTAACTACATGTGAAGTCACATTAAAGCTGGGGTACCTCAATACTAGAAAAAAAAGTTTTACCAGATGTATCAGTTTAATTACGACAAGAGATAATTTTATGTATTTATTTTATAAAAGTATACAGAGTATATAAATATAATATATTATATTTAAGTACTATTACAATCAAGACAGACAATTACACATATACACAGACATAATAACAACAACAAAAAGCCAAAGGACAAACAAAAAATGTTACAAACTTGTTCCTGTTTGTTTATTGTGATTTACCTCTAAATCCTCAACATTTTGAGAAATGTAAATTCCTATTCCCCATTTGTTGATACAGTACATTGTATTTTAAAAGTTGTTCCTTTGATATCCTTCCAATCCTGTGAACTTTACACTTATATTTTCAATTTAAACCTGCAACAAAAGATAAGTTTTGCTAATTCTTAGCAATTAACTGTTTATTAAACTCAACATAATAAATACTGTTTATTAGGCCTCAAGTTTTTTTGATGTTGTTGAAAATGTATCAAGAAATGTGTTTTAAAGTAGTCCCTCACTACACTATTAGGTATACTTATAGTTTAGTGTAACTACAGGGCTTCAGCTTCACAAAGGGTCCAGTCATCTGTTAGTGCTATAAAGGCTTTCTCCAATGGATACAGTTGACTTAATACCAATAATTGCTTGTTTGAGAAGTCTGAAACTGTGATCTGGGTTATTGCCTAGTCCTGGTTAAATCTTAATTTAATCCAAAACCAGATTATGACTCATGGAATTATGTGTATCTCAGCATAAATCAATCAGACTTTTAATCTGAATTAAAAAAATCAAAGTCCCACAAAACATCACAGGAGGTGAATGTCGAGAACAAAGATTGCGCTCACCTTAGCTGGGTCTCTGTCCTGTCCCTGTGGCGTGGAGAGCAGGGGGTAAGGTCTTGTGGGGTCTGGGTTTTGGTCCTCTCCATGTGGAGTGCAGGGGGAAGCTCTTAAGTACGGCTCCATCAGCAGACAATGAAAGCATCGCCCAAAATATCCTCTGACCACGCCTGCATGTACCCACCATCACCACCAGGGGCAGCATGCAGGTTCCACATACAGTTTGGGGTGAGTAAGAGACAATATTTTACACATTGGTCACTTTGGGTCACAGGACTCTGGCTGTGTCCAGTCGTTTAGACAACTAAACGATGACTTAATGGACTAATTATATTGTTTCTTTATAAAAACACAGAGCAAAATCTCTGAAGATTGAATATCAAAGTAAATTCCACAATCAAAATAAAAAACAATTCTCAAATTCAATAAAAAAGTGATTATGAAGTTTTATGAATTATTCAAATATATTGTGTACCAAATCCTTGTTAGTCGACAGTTTTTAAGCATACAATACAGTGAGAAGGTTGAATTAGGTCCATTGCAAAAATGAACCAAGAGTGCCCAGGTGAAATAATAATGAAAGTAAACTAATAAAGTGGTCGGATATTTGTGACTGGCCCTAACTCATTGATCAATGAAAATAAACTAAACATGAAAAGTATGAGACTTGGGTGGCATCTCTGACTGTCACCCCCCTGACCCAGAAATGGAATAAAGGGTAGAAAATGGATGGATGGATGGATGAAAAGTATGTTTCTTAAAAAACCATTTATTCATTTAATATTTACATTAGAACTGTTTTAAATCATTGAGTCTTTGATAAATTAGACAGAATCTTATTTTCATAACTATTCACATTTTGAACATATGTGCAACTCCAGCTCACTGAAAACACAACATCAAACCAAGTACAAAGATCACCAAAAGGAAAACATAATTGATAGTTCATTAGAATGCCTAAATTATAATTATTTTGTAAAAGCCCCTTTGATTCAGCATGTGGCATTAGCAGCAAAATTCACAGTCTGAATGAAACATGAAGATAAAGCCCTTTTGAGAAAACTAGAATCGGAACTAAACAAGATTGTTCCGGACGAGAGAAGGATTTTGTCCCATTTGCAAAAATAAACAACTGCAGTTTATGACATCCTAAAGCTAAAATATTTATAAAAAAGAGCATGACCCAGCCTGGTCTTACTGCACCATCTTGGGGAAATGATAATTGACCGGAGTTGACATCAGATAGCTAAGGCGCATTCTATCCAGCGAGCTGTAATCAGTGATTCTTCTTTTCTTAAATGTTGCAGAAGCACTTGGTTCCTATATGCACTATACAAGTTTACAAAATATTATTTTGTACGCACAGAATAAACAAATTGTGACAGAAACACTTTGAAAATTGTTGGGATAAGATAAGATAACATAAACGTTTATTCGTCTCACAGTGGAGAAATTTCAGTGTCATCGTTGCGCACATTACAGCAGAGAGAGGAAATAAGAGCACACATCAAATTGAGTCTATTATTTAAGATAATAGATAATAAAATTAAGAAATAAATAAAATAAGATAAACTCTGGGCTATAATTGCACTTGGTTCGAAAGTATTTACAGATGTCTATATTATACATTATTAGCGGAGAATATGAGAATATGAATATGAGCAGAATAGGCAAGGCAAGTTTATTTATATAGCACAATTCATACACAAGGCAATTGAAAGTGCTGAACAAAACAAGAAAGCATTAAAATCATAAATAATCACAGAACATCAAAAAGAAAGCTAAATATATAAAATCCCTCAGTTGTATGCACAGCTAAACAGCACCGTTTTTAACTTGGTTTTAAACATTGTCAGAGAGGAGGCCTGTCTCACATCTTCAGAAAGATTGTTCCAGATTTTAGCAGCATGAATCTGAAAAGCAGCCTCCCCATGTTTAGTCCTGACTCTGGGTACTAACAGGAGTCCAGTCCCTGTGCTCCTCAGAGTCCGGGCTGGTTCATATGGGACTAACATGTCACTAATATATTTTGGCCATGGAGAGACTTGTACACAAGCAGAGCTGTTTTAAAGTCTATTCTCTGAGCCACAGGAAGCCAGTGCAGAGACCTGAGGACTGGACTAATGTGGTCGTACTTCCTCTTTCTAGTCAGGACTCGAGCTGCTGCATTTTGAATGTACTGCAGCTGTTTTACAGCCTGTTTGGACAGACCTGTGAGCAGGCCATTGCAGTAGTCTAACCTACTGGAGACAAATGCATGGATAAGAATCTCCAGGTCTGCTTTAGACACTATGTTTTTGATCCTGGCAACAGTGGCGGCCGGCCAATAGAGGGCGCTAGGGCGCCGCCCCACCACTCACAACTTCCCATGTTACCTTGAATAAAACGTTAAAAAAAAAAATAACATTAAAATATTTCGAAATTTATGTGTGTTTTATTTCAGATGTGGAAGAAATACTTTATAGTTTATGCTGAGTTGGATTGATTAAGCTCATCAGCGTTGTCTGTGTCGGACTGAGGACGTATTTCCGCCTCTATGGACGAGAGTCCATAGACGGCTCTTTTGCGCCCTGAGCCGTCTATGGACTCTCGTTAAAAGTTGTACATGCGCAGTAGCTCCTCTTCAATGCAAGAGATAAGACGATTTGGGGGCGCAGGAGAAGTGCGCCCTGAGGGGGCGGGATCGCCCGCGACCTGTACTGTCACTGTCTGTGACGTCCGTTTACAGTGATTGACAGGTCAAGCTGTGGGAGTTTGAGACGAACGTAAAGAGACGCAAAATGGAGAACGAGAAAAAGAATAATTCAGTTAGATCACTCAAAACAATACCGTTTGAGAGAAGATCATACCAGGAGAAGGTTGAGGTTAAAGAGCTTGGACCTGATCAGCCAAATATTACCATTAGTCAGCAGTCCAGCGACAGGGGGAGACGGTACACTCGTACTTTTTCCAGGACCTGGTTCAGCGCCAAATCTTGGCTAGCAGCATGTAGCGAGGCTAATGCTTTATTTAGCTTTCCATGCCTCTTGTTTCAAACATCAGGATCTGACCCAGCATGGATCAAGACAGGTATGACTGATCTGAAGCACTTTTTAGAAAAGGCAAAGAAGCATGAGCAGACTGGTATCCACATGCAAAATGCCCTCAAATTAGCTATGTTTGGGAAGATAAATATTTCATCCCAGCTGGATGAAAGCTACAGGGTAGGGATCAGAAAACATCCCTACCCTGCTGGTATATATCTAGTCATCATATTCATAGCCCCCCCAGTAGAAAATTCCACCAGCCGCCACTGCCTGGCAATGTTTTTTAGATGTTAAAAAGCTGCTGATGTTACTGATTTGATGTGGCTATTAAAATTTAAGTCTGAGTCCAGTATTACCCCTAGATTTCTGACCTTGTTTGAAGGTTTTAGGGAGAGAGACTGTAGATGACAGATGACGCTCTCTCTTTGTTTCTGGGGACCAAAGACAATCATTTCAGTTTTGTCTGCGGTATTAACATGTCTGGTATAGAAGAACCAAATACTTTATTTCTACAAATAAGACAAGATGAACTTTCCTAAACTAACAAATGCCTACCTGTATTAATGCCATAAAACAGAATTGGATCAATGACTTATCCAAAAAGTTGTCTGAAAAATGTCCATCTTCCCTAAGTTTGTCAAAAAGATCAATCCAAAACTGAACACACTCACTACGAAGGGTGAGCCACCAACGTTCAATTCGTTGGTTCCCTGTGCTTGGACCGAATGTTACGGGGTCTGTCACTTGGTTCGCGGGATAATGCAAAAAACGTTGAAATTCTGCGATATGGCCATTCTCCGTTCCCATGTCAAGCCTGACTCGGGCTGGACAACCACCTGCAGTGACCACTGCACCCATATAGTAGCCAGCAATAATTTTTGGGTCACTGTTGGTTTTGTAGGCTTCAAGCCATAGCATTTTTCTGGAAAATCCATCGATGCACCCGCTGATTGCAATTCCAAAAGGTTTTATTTTGTCATAGCCATCGATGTGCCAGACAAAATTTGGCCCGCGACTGTGGTACACCCGCCTCCGTAGTCGATTTCTTGAGCGGAGATCAACTCCTTCACTGTCCAGTAACCGCATTAAGATACGAACAGTCTCTCTATCAATCACAATGTTGTGCAGCCAGCATTTTTGGTGCATCCATCGATATCCATGGTACTGACCAGATGTTGCCAGTTGATTCTCAATAAATGTGGCCACTTCAGCCACATCCGTTTTATTTTTACGCCTCCACAGGCCGCTCTTGTTTAAAATCCGCTCAACAGTCCGTTTACTTAACTTGACTCCATTGGAATGTTCAAGTAGATTAAGTATTTCATTTGTTGTAAATCCATTTCCAAAGTACTTCCGAACCAACTCCTGAGCCATGTTTATTATTATAAACAGGATATACTTCTTCTTCTGCGATTGAACGCGTAATGCTGCCCCCTATCGATTAAAGGGGGCGACGTATGCGTAAAACTCACAATTTTGACTAGTAATTCGAAATTATGACTTTTAAAAACAATTTTTAAGTGTACTGACCTGAAATCACCAATATCTTCAACATAACATGCCAACTTGCAGGCAAAGGATGTCCAGAGACATTCCAGACAAGTAATACATACACGGCAACAACTGCACATGCGCAGTTGAAAACTCGTAATTTTGACTTTTAAAGTCGAAATTTTGACTTTTAAAGTCGAAATTTTTACTTTTAAAGTTGAAATTTTGACTTTTAAAAGTCGAAATTTTTACTTTTAAAAGTCGAAATTTTGACTTTTAAAGTCAAAATTTTGACTTTCTGTAGGCTTTTTTTTTTTTTTACATGGCGGAAACGGGCTTCCATACTGACTAAATGAAATGTGTTCATTCACAGATTCTGATAAAAGAGCCCTCCCCCATTGGGGTTGACAGGGCATGGAGGTAAAGATGATTCCTCCTCATACCATTGTACATATTTTTGTATATATTCTCCTTGTATAGTGATTTACAAATTTATATTATTTACAGGTGGTGCATCGAGAGGCAGTTGCTGTGCAAAAAAAAGGTAAAAGGACTACTATTTCTATTCTTGTACATCCCATGGCAATATAATATAATAATAATAATATAGTATACTGTGTTTGGTCCAAAAGTAGTCAGTCGATAATGTGGGAGGAAGGCCTTCATTGTATTTTATGTATTGATTTATTGTAACAAATTCACTGTATAATATAGTTATTGTGTGTATCAAATTTCCAGCACGTTCGTCACCCAGAAGCTCTGGGGAAGATGGCTGACAGGAGGATCAGTGGGAGCCGAGTCAGTTGCCCTTCACAGGAGCTCCTGGACCACAGAGGCTGCGGACAGAGGCTGCGAAGCTGGATTCATCTGATCCAGACTTTCTGGAGCTGGATTCATCTGATCCAGACTTTCTGGAGCTGGATTCATCTGATCCAGCTGACTTTCTGGAGCTGGATTCATCTGATCCAGCTGACTTTCTGGAGCTGGATTCATCTGATCCAGCTGACTTTCTGGAGCTGGATTCATCTGATCCAGACTTTCTGGAGCTCTTCTTCACGGAGGGAGAACTACAAATGGTACACAGCGTGTCGTGTTCCGTTGCACTCAGTGTTTCAACCTCTACAACTCAAAGCTGAACTACTGGGAGGACTGAAAAAGCAGATAAACTCACTCATACACACACTCACACGCACTCGCACGCACACAGACACTCACTCACACGTACACTCACTCGCACACTGACATTCACACACACAGACACTCACTCACACAGACACTCACTCGCACACTGACATTCACACACACAGACACTCACTCACACAGACACTCACTCGCACACTGACATTCACACACACACACTCAAATTCACACGCGTCATTCTATTTTATACATCTATAGTTTTATTGATCTTTGTGTTGTTGTTGTTTGACGTTTTGGTTGATGGAATAGAAGAAAGTAAAATTTTCTATCTGTGAATAAATTGCCAACAATTTGCCATCAAAAGTATTATTTCAGAGTCATGTTTTTATAATTTTGTAATGGAACAAGTGTGAAGATGTTTTGAGTTGTCACTAAAGCAGCAAAAATGCATCTAAAAGTCTCTTTTCTGCTTGATATGTTCCTGTTTACATACAGCTCGTTTTCTCTGTTTTCTTGCTCAGACCAGGTGTTGTGGGTGAAAGTATGCTTTGTTCTATGGCAAATAGCTCAAGAACGGTAAGAGGTAGAAACAAACTGTTTCATTCAGAGTAAAGCAGAGAGGTTAATCTTTAATTTGGTGCCCTTGGTGTTTACATCGTCTAAAAAATGAATATTCTGTGGCACTTCAAATTTGGGTCAAATCACCTGAAATTGCTGGCAGAACGCACTTCTCAAATCTGAAAATGCCTGGCAGTCAGTGAGTTAACAAAACATTGTAAGCATATACACATCTTAAAAAGTCTCAATTGATGAAATGATATTCTGGCAGTGTACTGTGGGGACCTATAAAAAAACGAGTCAATGTCACTTAGAAGGACCATATTTGCAAATGTTTTGCATAATTCACACACTTTTTATAATTTACTCATGGGGACCCTTTGTAAATCTAATAAGTACAATGTTAAGGCCAAAGAATGCACAGACTGTCTTTGTAAATGTGCCTTTATTAACCAATTTTATATTTTTGTTGTAAGGATTGTGAACAGCCTATTTCTTGATGAAAGCACATTTTGCTTCAAATGCAGAGCAAAAAAAGCCTGTGCAAAAAAATGTCTTGTCATATATTCTTTGTACACCATTTTTGTTGTATGCCTTAACAGCCATATTTGTAGTGGCCTGACTTGAACGGAGTTCAACTGCAGAAGATGTTTCAGCTGAAACACATCTTAGCATCTTGAATGAAGTTGTGAAGTCACAAATAAATGAATGACACATTTAACTTCACTGGATGATAACAAGTTTCATAGGTACATTTTGTACTGACTTACTATGACACTTTTTGTCCTTATCAGTTTTGGTACATAATCGACTTCCCATGTGTGCTGTGCAAGAATCTGTAAATAAAAAAAACTAATATAAACAAACAAGACAAAAAACGAACACACTTCTCTTGAGGACCTTTTCACACCCCACTCCATTCCTTATTTATGGGGACCAATTCAACGGACTCACACACATGATTAAACTCAACAGAAGTCACTCATCCACTCTTCCACTATTCCACTTACTGAATATAGTTTAATAAGTTACACATGACAAATCTTATACAAATGACTTCAAATGTTAAAAAGCTTTCTCAGAACTGACAAAGAACCTCTTTTATTTTGTCATGATTGATAAAAATGATCCTACCTGTTTCTGAGGGGCATCGTTTGCCAATGACGTCTTGATGTGGGACTGAGGCTGGACAGAAAACCTGGAGTAGTGCAATCTGTTATCACGTGGGTCATCCGTGGGAAACAGAAGGTATGAGGATTTACAATAAAACACTATAATAATCACTGTCTTAAACAGAGATCACAAATCTAATTTAATAGAACCACCCAAGAAGGCCAAAGTACTACCAGCAGTGCACAAATCATAGATTGACAGATTTAAAACAAACTTATTTGCACATACACACATCTAGGGTCGGGGACATGCAACTCATCAGCAGTCACTCAAAGTGTGTTATGGGGACATTTTGATGGTTATTTCACACACTTCCATTCCTCCTATACGGGGACCAATTCAATGGACTTTCACACATGTTTAATAGAAGTCACTCAAAGTATATTATGGGGACATCGGGAGAGTTCAATTTAAAGAAACATTTGAGTTTAAAGTTCTTGTCTGCCATGACCAAAAAAAGGTTAAAAATACTCTCCTTGGACTATTCCACTTACTGAATATAGTTTAACGAGTGACACAAAACAAATCTAAGATAATTGACTTCAAATGTTATAAAACTTTTTCAGAACTGACAAAGAACCTCTGGTATTTTGTCATGATTGATAAAAATGATCCTACCTGTTTCTGTGGGGCATCGTTTGCAAATGACATATTCATGTGGGACTGAGGCTGGTCAGAATGATCAACAGAACCTGGAGTAGTGCAATCTGCTGTCACGTGGGTCATCTGTGGGAAACAGAAGGTATGAGGATTTACAATAAAACACTATAATAATCACCGTCTTAAACAGAGATCACAAATTTAATTTAATAGAACCACCCAAGGGGGCCCAAGTATTACCAGCAGTACACAAATCATAGTTTGACAAATGTAAAACCAACTTGTTTGTACACACACACATCTAGAGTCGGGAACACGTCTCATGAGGACCTTTTCACACCCCTCTCAATTTCTTCATGGGGACCAATTCAATGAACTTTCAAAAACAATTCCACTCATCATCAGTCACTCCTAGTGCGTTATGAGGACCTTTTTAGGGCCATTTCACACACTTCCATTCCTTCTTTACGGGGACCATTTCAACAGAGTTTCACACATGATTAAACTCAACAGAAGTCACTCAAAATGTATTATGGGGACATCGTGATGGTTCATTTGAAAAAGGCTAAAAATATTCTACTTCCACTTATCTACTTCCTGAATATAGTTAAATGAGTTAAACATAACAAATCTTATAGAATTGACTTGAAATGTTAAAAAGCTTGCTCAGAACTGACAAAGTATCTCTGGTATTTTGCCATTATTGAATAATATGATCCTACCTGTTTGTGAGAGGCATCGTTACCATTCCTGTGGGACTGAGGCTGGTCAGAATGATCAAGAAAGCCTGTTGTAAAGCCATCTGCTGACACGTGGGTCATCTGTGGGAGACAGAAGGTATAAGACTTTACAATAGAACACTATAATAATCTATAAGTCTAAAACAGTGCTCAAATTTTTCCAACCAAGCCCCATGTTATAAAATACTGAAATGTACCACCAGGTCTGGATCACCATGAAACAAGATAAGATAAACTTAATTGATCTCACAGTGCAGAATCAGGATTTATAAAGGTCTAAACTAGACTTCCTTAAGTCTACCTAAAGCCTTGTCTATGGCAGAAAACTCCAAGCTTCAAGTCATAACTAAAACAATCGTAGAATGTAAAATCACCACCATAGGAGGCCATTTCACACACTTCCATTCATTCTTTATGGGGACCAATGAAACAAACTTTCAAACATAGTTCAAGTCAATAGCAGTAACTGAAAGGGCATTCTTCGTATTAAAGTAGTACTAGAATGTAATATGCTGCTATCCAGAATATATAACTACAATATGTGTTTATAATATTTCGGGTGTTCATTTTGATATGTTCAGATGAATTTTGTTAAAAAAACAGCGTTGAAGTCGGACCTTTTCACAAACGCTAGGGGGAGCCAAAATGGCGGCGATGACGTAGGAGAAGGGTATCTCACAGCTGCAGCAGCAGTCTTAGCTGGAAACTGTAGGAGGTTTCACTGTCATCTGAAAAAGGTATAAACATATTTTCATCCGTTTTGTACATAATAGGGTGCAACTCTTTTAACCTATTAGCCTTATTTGTGAGATTCAAGCAAACTAGTGTTGGGCAAGTTAGCTAACTCTACTCGATATCATAAAACATGCTAACAAGGCTAATATTTGTTTTTACATTATGCCAGTCTCACTTTGGTTGCCTTAGATCTATTTACCACAATGTACATTGTAATATCCATAAATGCTAATCAAAATAACTTGAATAAATATTTTACTTTTATGAACAAAAAGCTGCAGAAGTTGAAAACATAGACTACATGTGATGCAATCATTGATAAAAATGCTAATTAAACCGTTAATAGGTGTTAGCATTTTTGAATATTACAATGTACATTGTGGTAAATAAATCTAAGGCAACCAAAGTGAGACTGGCATAATGTAAAAACGAATATTAGCCTTGTTAGCATGTTTTATGATATCAAGTAGAGTTAGCTAACTTGCCCAACACTAATTAGCTTGAATCTCACAAATAAGGCTAAAAGGTTAAAAGAGTTGCGCACTATTATGTACAAAACGGATGAAAATACGTTTATACGTTGTTCAGATGACAGTGAAACCTCCTACAGATTCAGCCCAGACTGCTGTCTGCTGCTGTGAGATGCCCTTCTCCTACGTCATCGCCGCCATTTTGGCCCCCCCCTAGCGTTTCTATGCGGAAATGAAAAGGTGCCACTTCAAAGCAGTTTTTTTGACATAATTCATCTGAACATGTCAAAATGAACCCCCGAAATATTATAAACACGTAGTTATATATTCTGGATAGCAGCATATTAAATTCTAGTACTACTTTAAGTTAGCAATAAGCAATTATTTTAAGCGTGTATTTGTGACATACTTTTTCTCTCCATGGGCAGTCATCTCCACCATAATCATAAGTAATTTCTTCTCCTTCTTTTTTGTCTCGTAATGCTTCTTTTCATCTTACAATTTGGGTGGATGTGCTCATCATTAACAATACGCCCAAATGTGCCATCTTGTACTGAAGCATCAATGCTGAAAAAAAAAAAGAAATATATATATATAGATATATAAAAACTTTTAAACACATATAGTACATACATTATACAGTATAGTGCTACAATCACCAAGCTTACATGTTCAAAGCTTACCTATATTTATCAATTCAAATCATATATTACAGAGACAGCTTTTTCATTTCAAATTCCACAGGCAGAGGTTTTTCTGGGCTAATTCGTGGTGCCATATAAATCATCAAACACTGAAACAATAGAATGCATAATTATGATTTCACTTGAGTAATTTTTTAAACAATTCTATTACATTTGTAATTTATTTTATCTGTAGGTTTGGTACAACTGTTTCTACTATATTACTTCCAAATATCTTCTATATCTAATATATTTTAATACATAATTACAAGTCAAACCTCTACTTTCAACATTTAGTCAGGTACTCAAGTAATATATTCATCCAGTAACTTCAGTAACTTTTCTTTTTCCTTTCTACTTGAAGAAATTAAATATTTCTGCCATTTGACCCACTTAATTCTTAAAATAAAACTAAACTGCAAACTACTTCTTAATAAGTATAGCCACTATAGGTTACTGCTATTACATAGAAAGCTTTAGTTGTATCATTCAGAGCCTGTATATGTACTGAGAAACCTTTAGTTGCTTCTTGAAAGTACCACACACAAGTTGATTACTATACAAGCTAGTTGCTAATGCTAACAGTTTGTATATTAAAATCACATCTAATCTTGCTTAAAAAGAGAAACCATGCAAAGTAAATCACTGATTTACCAGCAAAGACTACTCAGATTCTTTAGCCTGTTTACTCTGACATTAGCCTGTTAGCAAAAATCGGCGCTAACTTCCTAGCTAGCTACTTATAGTACATAAGAAGCTCTACTTATGTAATTTAGTCACCACTCGTTGTCTATCAAAGGGTCCGATGACGTCACAGATCTGGGACTGGTCTGGCCCCTGGTCCTGGTCTGGACCCGGTCTTCCATCTCCACCTGAGCAAACAATGCCCCCCACCACTGGGCGCCTGATTGTGTTGGACTTTTGCCCTCGTCGAGAGTGGGAGAGAGCATTTGTTTATTCTTGGAGTCAATAATTGTCTGGTTTTGTAAGCTGGTCATCTCTTATGATTCCTGAGTGCATATTCCTTTGTCTGATGTGCAGCATTTTGTGAATATTCGTCAGTCCCTCTTTTGACCTATATTAACCAATAGGTCACAATCTTTCAATATTCTCTGGGTGACGGGACTGGGGAGATTCCATCATCCTAGTTCTGGCTCGATATCTGTGAAGAGTTAATACAGGAAGACGAACAACACACAACCACATTGAAACATTCCTTCACTAAACTCTTTGATGACCACTGCTGTCATTCTGATTCTTCTTCAACCTCGTCTGTAATGTATGCACTAAAACTATTCACTATAGTTTAAACTATTCTAATCTATTTACCAATATGTTTGCATCTTTGCTTTTATTGAGCCATATTCTTAAACATATGTTTTTATCTAATAAATCTATCTATACTGTGGTTTGCTGTCATTATCAGTGGCTCTGTGCCATTTTGTGGGGCTTTGCTCATTTTTCCAAACACATTTTGTTGAACCAGGAAGTGCTGTCACTTCCTTCTCTCAGACCGTTTGGGATAAATGTACATCGTTAATCAAATTGGTATTATCCGTACAGGAGCTAATCTATTTTAGCAGGTTTCTCTGGGGTTAGTCCCTATACAACGGTATTTTGATTCTCTAATCTGTTGCTGACAGATTGACAGCTCTTAAAATTCTCAAAACTACCTAAAGATCTACTTTTGTGCTATACCCAAATTCATTAAAATGCTTTCAAATGTTTTTGAATCTGTGTTGGTTCTAATCGATCTCATTAATCTATCTCATTAGCTTTTTGCATTGTCAACATTCACCTATGTTTGAAACAAGTGAATTTGACAGTATCTAATAAAACTGTGCATAAACTGTAATGAACTTTATCTACCTTTGAAGTAAATACTTTTGGACATAATATGAAGGAAATGGTCCTTTTACCGTTTGATATTAGCCCTGTCTAAAAATAATCTCTATTTTTGAAAGCATCTATCTATTTTACACTCTATTGTGACTCCAAATCTTGGTTGTAGTTTGAGCCAAAGCATATTCCCAACTTTTGAGTTCTGATTGTAACAATAGCATTGGCAATAGACGATTTTTTATTGGCCGGTTCTTGTTCTGCAAATCACTATTCTATGTATTGTATTTCAGACAATTCCAAAAACAACACAGTCGTTCTCCAATATTAAAGACATACATCTAAATCAAGTTGCCTGAAAGGGATTTTAAACTATTTTAAAACGTTCTCTACGATTATAAGGCTATGAAATTAATTATTTAATAAACAAAAGCACATTCATGGCTTCTGTCCACTGCTTATAACTGTTTAAAGAGTTGTCCCAAACTTAATATGTGTAAATACATCAGCTGTTTGTAATAAACAATAACATTTGACCTGTTCTCCGATGGAGCAGCTCAGAGGCTGCGTCAAAAGCAATGTTATATTTGAGCTATTTTTAGATTTAAAATTGTGTTAAAGCCTGTCGTTCTATGTCTGCATTTTAATACTACTCTCTATAAACACATCTGCACTAATTCCTACAGATGTGGAAAACAGAAACATCTAAAATCTGACTCCATTTGATTCCTTTTTACTTTAGTTATTAGAACAATTTGACCTTATTGATACTTATTTCCACAATAGAACTATTTTGATTATTCACTAGTCTAACTATTATTACTATTGTTTATTCTGACACTTCAACCTATAGCTCCTCGAATCCAATGACATTATAGCTCCAGACTATTTCATTCTATTCTATTATTATCTTATTATTATATGATCTATTATCTTAAAGAGTAGATCTGTTTGATGTTATAAGCGCTATTATTTCTCCTTTTGAATTTGCACAACACTAAATTTAGAATGACCCCCTATGGGACAAATATAGAATTTTATTTCATTTTGGCAACTCCGAAAATTACTTAATAATTTTCCCATTTTGCTTTTTTTAGGCTGCCCTTTTCTATTATGTATTTGGTCTTGTAAATATATGTTTTACACTTCTTTCTAATGATTTAGAAGGTTAAGGACCATGACCACCTATGACAATAACATTACTATACTCCCTCTGTTGGTCGTGGTCCAAAGTATAAAACATGCATCTGTGTGTGTGTAGATTACTGTTCCAATCATCTTCAGTTGTTCCTCCCGGATCGTCCTCAATTCATATTGTGGGCTTTGGTGCCAAAGTAGAGGCTCATTTTCCTCA